TGATTTAAATAATTTAATGATAATTTTTTTAATATAAATAAAAACTTATAGAGTCGAGTTGTATGATAAATGAATAAAGTAAGTTAAAAATAAAAAAGAGTTATTTTTTATTGTAGAACAAAAAATCAAAAAACAAAAAAATTCATTAACGTCTTTATGTTAGATAAAGACAAGGAAAAGCTTGGTCGCGTATAATGTTTATTACACAACATGACATAGTATATATAATTGATATTGTATTCATATATTTATTTAATGTCATACTACATGTATTATCATCATAAAAATAATATTAAAAAAATAATTTCAATAGGTTATGCATGTAACTCTTAAAAAAATAGGTTATGATGTCAAACTTCCCACTCAATTAACAAGCGGAAGGTACTTACAGAAAAAAATGTAATAAATTATCAAGCCGCTGGTATTAGTTGAAAAGAAGCATGAGACGTGAATGAAGCTCCAAACGTTAAAGGACAATCCACCATTTTCCAAACAACCCGGATAGATTACAAGAACCATGGTTTCTTACTTATTTCTTTACTAGATCGATGGCCACTTAATTTTACTTTTTTACTCCATCTCTCTCCATGGTTTAATTTCAATGATAGGAAAATTCGAATCTAAAACTTCTCACTACAACATTAAAATAATTACTATTAGTTCTGTCCTTAAAAAAAAAGATGAATTTTTTCAAAGAGAATTTAGAAAAATAACTTTAATGTCAGAAATATTTGTTCTTAGACTAGTTAGAATTCTATCATATTCTAGAGTTTTCTTATATATTTCAAAAATAAGAAAATTATAAAATTACTATAAAGATCACAACATATGGCTAGATGATACATTGATATTTTGAAAAGGAAAAGCGAAAATTCGTGAAAGTTCTTGAAAAGATGACAATTTGTGAGGGTGAATTACGAATAGAGAGCCAAATTGGAGTGTATCAATGATTCAATTTGATCTATATTCAATAGATATGGGATGGGCGAAAGTGGGCCTTAATTTCCTAACTAGCTTTCTTCATCCAGTTGCTATATATATATGGTGAAGAATAGATCTTGAGCTAGACACCACACCACCACCACCAAAGTCGTTTTCAGCTTGGAAGAAGGAGATGCTCAAATGTCAATTGAGTTGGGAAGAATAATTGGGGCCAATAATTAACCTTTACCTTAAGTAAAGAAAATGTTTTGCACAAGTCTCAATCATCGCTAGAAGTGGTTGTGATTAAAGACCTAGTCTCCCTTGTAGACATGGGAGGTGTTTAGCATAGCCACATTTAAAAAAAAAAAAATTTATAAGTGCCTTTTACTTTTTTAGTTTTTAAAATATTACTTTTAAGTAGTGTTGTTCACCAATACAATATTTTTTCTTAAACTTTTGAGAGCAAAAAATATTTTAAAACAAACTGAAGATTAGAAGCTTTGCCAAGTTCATCGTTTTTGTCGCAAAAATAAATAAATTGTTCATTACGTTATATCTTCTTAAAATGTGTTTTTTAAGTCAACTTGTAAAAATAAAGAATATAAATATTTGTAAAATTATTTAAATATTTTAAATAAATCATTTATATTTATTATGATATATAATAATATATTTTTTATTTTATCTTTAAATTAAATATTTGAGATAATTGCACCTGAACTTCACAGCCTAACGGCCATAGATCGACTTGTAAGATGCATCCCCAACTCAAAGGTTGGGGTTCGATTTCCTCTTTCCTCAAAAATTGTAACCTTGTTAAAAAAAAAATTATTTGAGATAATTTATATTTTTATTTATATTATTCTTAAAAAATAAAAATAATAAAACTTTTTGTGATAGGTAAGATAATTAAAGTACAAAAATAATAAGAAAGTAAAGTGGAAAAAATATTTATCTCAATTAAAATATAAAAAGAACAAATTTTAAATAAAAAACATATGATATTATTATTCTAGAATAAAAGAAAAAGTTTTTTTATAGTACAGGTTAATAATACTTTTTTAGTATTAATTATTATTCAAAATAAAATTGAATATTTATTTAATCAATCATCTAATTAAAATAAT